CCCACCCTCACCACCCCCACCACCCCCACCACCCCCACCACCCCCACCACCCTCTCCACCCCCTCCTCCATCCCCACCACCATCCCCACCCCCACCGCCCTCTCCACCGGTCCTGCTCCCAGCTCCAGAACTGGTGGCGGCCATTGCAGACGATCCCGATGCGGGCGACACAGTGGTGAGCATGGGCGATACGCTGACGCTGGTGTTCTCACTCCCGACGTCAACACCATCATTGACGACGTCTGCGTCGCTCAACGCGGCGCTGTCGTGCAAGCCAAGCGCATCGGCGTCGGTCACCACGCTCTCAGCCTGCCTCGGCTCGGTACTGTCGGGCAGCTGGTCCGCAGACGCCACGACGCTGACGATCACGCTGGGCTCCAACGACGCAGCGCTTGCTCCCCAGCCTGGCGCCGCAGAGTTTATCCCTCTTGTGGCCGGCAACATCCGCAACGCGCCGGGTACCTCGCTACCGGCGACTGCAGCGTCACCGGTGCTCTCAGGCTCGTGGGGCGCGAGCTCGGCCGAGCTCGTGTTTTTCTTAGCCGCATCAGGCAGTCGACTCGAAGGCCCGCTGCAGCTGGCCGAGGGCGAGACGGTGGCGTTGCTTGCGCAACTCTCGCTGGTTCCGTCGGCGCCGGTCGACGCAATCCTCTCGGTTGGCGATAACGCGCCCGAGGCGCCGCGTGGCCCGCACTTGGCGCTCTCAACGACCCGCCTCAGCTTCTCTACGGCCAATTGGAATATGTTCCAGACGGTGACGGTCACCGGCGTTGCCGACGTTCACGCCGGCGAGCCGCTGGCCTTGGTCAATCTCATTCGCGAGCGCTTTGAGTCTGCTGACGCCCTGTACGCCTCGCTGCCAGCGGTGAGTCACCGCATCAATGTTGTCGACTCGACCGCGGCCGAGCTAGTACTGGAGCCGCTGGCGGCCCCTCCCGGCACTCCTGTACCGGTACTCGATCCTGACTTCCCGTTGCCAGCCGGGACGCCGCCAGGCACGGCGACGCTCTCGCACGCCGGGCACATGCTCTGCTCGCGGATCTCGCTGGCGTCGTCACCGTGGCGCGCGTCGTCGTCGCCCGGTGCATCGTCGCCGCGAGTGGTCATTGAGCTTACAACAAGCGCACCGTCCGCACTGGTGCTTGTGGCCGACGTGACGCCCGAGGCTCTCCCGCTCCCGCCGCTGTGGATCGACGCGCCGACTGCTGGCCGACTGGGTGGCACTGCGGCGCGCCAGATGACGGTGGTGCTCGGCGCGACCCGCGAGCTGCCGTTTGTTGAGCCGTGGCAGACTGGTGTCCAGTTCTGCCTCGTTGCGCCGGCAGACTCGGGCCTCGCCGCCTCGGGCCTGTACGAGCTCACAGCAAAGGTGTTGACTGTGCAGACCACGGCCGAGGCGTACGGCACAGCGCCGCCGGCACGTGCGCCGCTAGCCGTCGCGGTGGTGGCATGGCCGCATGTGACGACAACGCGCCCGCTGGTGGCGAGCCAAGTCGGCTCCGTCATCACGCTCGTTGGCCGTGGCCTCTCGACCGCGCTCGATGTGAGTGTGGCCGGGCAGCTGGCGCCGCCGGCGGTGGCCAACATGTCAGCGAGTGGCGACATGACGCAGCTGACGCTGCTGACGCCGGGCGTGACAGCTGAGGGCTACCTCGCCATCACGCTCACACACCCACTGACTGGCACCTTTACCAGCTACGACGATCTGTTCTTCACCAACGACTGCCCGTTCGAGGGCCAGTTTGGGCGTGGCCTCGAGTGCAAGTCGTGCCCGGACGGCGCGTTCTGCCCCGGTGGCTACCGGCTCTGGCCGCTCCCGGGCTACTGGACGCCGGCAGAAGACGCCGGCTTTGTGGTCAAGTGCTCGGAGCCGTCTGAGCGGTGTCTGGGCGGGCGGTTTGCGCTCTGCTCGAGTGGGTACGCAGACAAGGCGTGCGCCAACTGCGCACACGGATACTATCGCCTCGGCCCGGCCTGTGTCGCATGCTCCTCGTCGACGGCGGTGTTTGTGACGCTAGTGGCGACCAACGTGGTCTTTTGCGCCCTCTTCATCGCCGCCACCCTTGTCCTCAACGACTCACTGCTCAACAGTGCGACCCAGTTCCTGCTCGGCGTGCTTGTCCTCTACTCGGTGGCCAAGACCAACGCGTCGGCGATGACCGGCTGGCTCGCCGAGCTCTACCAGCTGCTCTCGCTCGTCGCCATGGACTTTCGGTTTGTGCGGCCGGGTTGCCAAGGCCTCCCGGGCTCGTTTGCCGCGCTGTTCTATGGGGCGCTGGCCCTGGCCCTCGGCATGGGCCTCGTCATGCTCGTCCTTCTCACCGCCATGCCGCTCATCTTTCCGGCTAGGACTGCGTTCTATGCCAACCGCCGCATCCGCGCACCCATCATCTATGCATTTATCATGTACGTCACCCTCTCGCAGCTCTTCCTGGAAGCGCTCCACTGCGCTCCGGTCAAGGAGCCGCAGGGAGTGCGCTGGCTCCTGGTCGCCTCACGTGACATCAAGTGCCTCTCCTCCCAGCACATCCCCATCTTTCTGGTGGCCCTGGTCGGTCTCGGGTCCTTCACCCTAGGCCTCCCGGTCTTTACGGGCGTCAAGCTCCGGGCGCTGCGCGTGCTCGGGGCGCTGGCGATAGCGGATAGACTGCGCAAGGTCTCGGAAGCGCACACTGTCCTGGTCCGCCCTTCCGACTTTGCCTCGGCGTCCGGGTCTAGCTCGCTGGCGAGCTCGGCCAGCGGTTCAGGCGCAGCGCAGTTTACGCCGGTAGAGAGCGAGGAAGATGAAGAGCAAGAGGCGGTGGATCGCATGCCGCCGTCCAAGGCGCTTGACGGCCTGAGCGCGACTGCACGGGCACGGTACGGCTTCCTCTTTGAGCAGTACCGAACCGAGACGTACCTATGGTCGCTGGTCCAGCTGAGCCTGCTGCTATGCGTGGCGCTGGCCAACACGCTGCTGCGGTCGTCGCCAGCGGCACAGGCCGGCGTGACTGCCGCGGTCCTGCTGACAACGGCAGCGCTGATGGAAGCTGTCCGCCCGTTCCGCAAAGTGTGGCGGAACCACGCGTCGGCAGCGTTGCTGACCGCGGCGTGTGTGGCGACGCTGCTGGCTTTTGGCGTTGCGACCGGCCCGCTGCGGCGGGCGCGGATGGAGATCTCGCTAGCGGTCCTCGCGCTCCTGGTCATTCTTGTCCTCCTCGGCATGGTGCGACTCATCGGGATGGCGCTTGACTATCGCGACCGCATCCTGCGGACCCGGCCGGCGTCTGTGGGTGTTGCCACGTCGACGCTCCCGATCGCCTCGCACGTCCTCCACGCCGTCTCGCTCGTCAAGTACATGCCGCGCAGCGAGCGCGACGCCGAGTCTTCCAGCTCGCTCGGCGGCGACGACGATGGCGAGGCAAGGACTACCGAGACTGACACGCTGTCGCGGCCGCAGCTGGCCGACTCGCCGGCTTCGGCGTCTCAGGCATCGATGCCGATTGCATCAAGCTCGGTCGTCTTTCTCACCGAGCCCGAGCCTGAGCTCGAGCTCGAGCTCGAGTATGCCTATGCACCTTTAACAAGGTCTGGCTCACGACGGCGCAACCTGGCAACTGCGCAGAACCGCCGGGCGCGGACAAGCGGCAAGTCGCGGAGGCGGCGGCGAACCAGCGGCCGAGTGTCGATGGCTTCGCTGACGCTGCCAGCAGTGACCGAGATCGAGACCGCCGACTTTGGCCCACTCTCGGTCCCGGGCACAGTGGCCCCCTCACGCAGCCCGTCACAGAGCCGAACGCGACTGCACTCCTCGAACGCCAGTCGCGAAGCGGTTGTTGTCTCGCCATCAGAGAGACTGTGGCGTGCGCAGACCCAGGCAGGCGTCAGATCAGGTACCCGCTCGATCGGCAATCTGCGCAGCTCGCAGTCTCGCAAGCGGCGGCGACCGACAATGCGGCGGTCAGCAACAACAGCGAGCAACATCCGGGCGGGGCTCGGCGTCGTCTCAACCTCGGACCTCGCCACCGCCGTTGCTGTTGAGGAGAAGAAGCGCGAGTTTGGCAATGACGCCGGCGACGGCGCGTTTGATAGTAAGCCGCATACTGCTGCGCATTGAAAAAATGCCAGACGGGCAATGAACGTGATGGATGGCCTAGATGCAGCCGCCGCCGCAAGTGGCCACCACGCCGCCACCGCGGGCTTCAGTCACGGCGGCGCAGGAGCAGCGCCGCTCTAGGTCCATGGACGCGAGGTCCATCATGTTGTGAACGACTACAAGCTGGAGGTTGGCGAGGACGGCGTTGGCGGCGTCGGCCTTCGGTCCCGAGTCGGCCGCGAGATAGGAGAGGATGTCCGGGAGCGGGTAGAGCTGGGCAGCTTTGATGGCCTTGCGAATACGGCGCGACATAAAGAGGCCGAGACTCTCGCCGGCCTCGAGCCGGCGTGCCTCGGGAAGGAGGCCGGCGTGGAGCGCCTCGACGTCGACAATGCGCGAGAGCGGAACCGAGTCAAACTGGCCGCCGTTGACAATGACAGAAGCAAAGGCGCAAAAGGGCGAGGGGCGGATGTTGTACCAGCCAAAGCCGAGCGACTTGAGCAGCTGCTCCAGCACAGCAGCGTGCGAGAGCGGGACAAAGTCGTCGACGGCGAGCTCGCCGGCAGTAGCAGCCCCGAGCGCGCGGAGGAGCGGCAGCGGATCAACCGAGCCGCAGCTGGTCGGGCGGGCCTGGACGGTGACTTGGGTCGGCGACCGGAGCTGCGACTCGGGGACCGGGAGCGAGTCGTCGAGGGCGGCGGGCGAGGCCGGCGGCGCCGGCGCGGCGGGCGAGCCCGACTCGGATGGGCCGGCGTCAGACGACGGCGAGAGGACAAGGTGCTCGCGCGCGGGGGGCCGGCGTGGCGAGGCGCGGGCAGGCGACGAGATGTTGCGCTTGGCCCGGGTGAGCCGGCCGACCAGTGCCTTGGGCGCGCGCTCCTGCGAGAGGATGAGCATGCGGGCAAGGCCCGGATGGGCACGGAAGAGGGCAAGAAGGCCGTCAAGGCGCGGGGTCGCCGGCGGCGCATCGACGACAACATGCAGAATGAGCCCGATGTCCGAGATGGTAGAGAGGGTGGCGAGGAGGGCGTCGAGCTCGGCGAGCGCCTGCTGCTCCTTGCCCTTGGCGAGGTAGTGCGAGACGGTCGGGTGGACCCGCGGCCGGAGAAGGACCGAGTCATCGAGGGCAGCAATAGCAGCAAGCCGGTCGTGGGGCCAGCTCGAGGAGCAGTGCCGTAGCGCCGTGGGCGTCGGCGTGCGGCCCGCCGGGTGCAAAGAGGGCGGCGACGGCGGCGGCGGCGTCGTTGAGCGGGCGGACGCGCGAGGCGCCCAGCGCGCGCAGCTTGAGCACGACCGACCGCCCGCCAGGAACCTCGGCCATGAGGCGGGCAACGCCCGCGGCGAGGTCTGCGTGCGGCAGGACGTCACCGCCCGGGTGGGTAAGCAGGTGCACGTCGAGGGTGAGCGGCGCCGCCGCCCGGGAGCCCGCGGGCGAGAGCAGCGCGTCGAGGTCCTCCACGTCGACCGTTGGCTTGGCCAACACCGCCCGCGGGACGGCTGCCGTGGCCGACGCCATGATCCGCCGGAAAAAGCCTGCGTCCGAGCATACGAGCGTCTCCAGCGCACCGTGGCTCGGACACACCGCCGTGAGGTAGACCTTGCCCGACGCCCGCGCCTCAACCGCCGCGTGGAGCCAGACCAGCCCCCGCCGCTCGACGAGCGTGCAGAACGGGCAACATGTTGCTGTGCGGTAGAGGATGGTGGGGTGGGAAGGGGGGGTGGAGGCCATGGGCGCGGGGGGAGGGGGGGGGGGGGGGGAGGGTGAGGTGTGATTGGGCAGGGATCGGCTGAGAGGGGGGGGGGGCCATGGTGCGTCCTCAAGACCGACGCCATGACCATCGGATGGGCCGTCACGGCGTCCTGACCATCGGACGGCCTGATAGCAAACACTCTAGGATTGTTCTGTGAACGCAGAAGTATCCCAAGAACGTTAATACCTACGAGCAGACTCAGAACGTTCTCAGGAGCGATCGTAGAGCGGAGACTTCAAGACGCGATGGGCGGCAGGAACCGCGCGTCTGGTACAAACTCAAACTATATATTTATATATTTATATATTTGTAAAATTATCAATGTATGTTTGAAAAGGCAATATTTGTATATTGATACGCAAACACAGTGTAATATATATATAATCATTAAATTTGGCAGATTTGGTGCAATTTTATCTGGTTTTTAAAAGCATTGGAGACACATACCCCGACCCGACACGTTCCGATCCCTTACGCTCGCCACACCGGCTCCTCAACACCGCTTTGTCGCTGCACAGGTAGTACTTTGTCTGAGCAACAATGCAAGCTGTTTGATACTCTTTTGGCTCGCCTACATCGCGAGTTAGCCGCATGTTCCCTCCCCTCCCTCCCAAATCGTCGACTCGCCCCTCTCGCAGACACGGGGCTGGCCCACACACACACTTGACCCGCATGGCGACCCAGGCCCAGGCCGGCCGAAGCTGCCTCCACCTGGCCAAGGGCAACCCTAACAAGGTCCGCCGCCGGCTACCAGCCACGCTTGCCTGCGACGCACTGCAGTGCTCGGCCGACGCCGAGTGCCAGCTCTGGCTCTGCCTCACCTGCGGGTTCACCGGATGCGGCCGCGCCGCGCCCGAGGCCCACGCCATGCGCCACGCAATAGAGCCTGATGCGCCCGGCCACTGTGCGTCGTTCACCCCGTCCGATGCTGACCTCGCCTCTGCTCCACACCCGCTCGTCATGCGCGCCTCCGACGGCTCGCTCTGGTGCTACGTCTGCGACACTGACCCGCCGCTGCCGACGCCCGATGCGCGCCCCGCCAAGCTCTCCTCCCGCGCTGCCTCGCGCTACGTTGCCCTCGCTGCCGCTGCTGCCGCCGCTGCGCCATCGCCACCGCCACCACCGCAGCATCTGCCCGCGCTCGCCAGTTCTGGGCTTGCTCCACCCCGCAGCGGCGCAGCAGCTGTGGCGGCAGCCCTGCCGGACGAGGCCGCACTGATCGCGGCCCTTCCGGCCTCTGTCGCCGGGCTGCGCAACCTCGGCAACACGTGCTTCTTCAACTCGGTCCTTCAGGCTCTCTCGGTCACGCCCGAGCTTCGTTACATCCTCGCTGCCTCACACTACACCCCGCCCGGCAAGCTCGCCAAGCTCCTGGCTAGCCTCTTTGCCGCCTGGCCGGGTGTCTCGCGCCGTGCCCACTCACCTCGCTCGCTCTTTGCCGCCCTTGCGCGCCAGGTCCCGCGTTTTCGCGGCTACCGCCAGCAGGACGCCCACGAGCTGCTCCGCGTCCTGCTCGGCGGCATCCAGGCCGAAGAGGCTGCGGCGTCGCGGCGTCCAGTTCTCACCGCCTCGGCAGTCTTTGCTGGCGAGCTCGTCTCCACCATCGTGTGCTCCGTGTGCGGCACACCGTCGCGGACACCCGAGCCTTTTCTTGACCTCTCGCTTTCGCTCACTGCGCCACTCGCTCCAAAGCCTGTGCGCTTGCGGCAGCGATCGCGGCCCTCGGCGCCCACCAAGCCCTCCGCTGCCGCCGCCAAGCCGGCCTGGCTCTACTCGGGCCCGTCGCGGTCGTCAACAGCGTCACCTGCTCGCTCGCAGCGCTCTCGCTTCCGCGGCAGCTGCTGTGCCTCGTCCGGCGCGTCGCCACCCCCGCCGTCACCAGCTCGACACACCGCAGTACGCGATCGCTATCCGGATCTGAACTCGCCCGCCTTTGCTGCGGCCGTAGCCGCCGCCGCCGCCGCCAACGAGCCGCCGCCGCTGCGCGAGCAGCCTGTCCTCTCAACGCGGCCGGCCTCGCTCCAGCTCGACCACACGCTTCAGGCCTTTGCCCAAATCGAGACGCTCGATGGTGACAACAGCTACGGCTGCGAGGCATGCACCAAGATGTATATCGAGAGCTGCGGCGTCGGCGGGTCGCGAGTCGTCCCGGACCCGCTCACCAGCCCACTCATCAAGCGCCCGGCCGCCAAGCAGTATCTCATCCGCTCGCTCCCGCCAGTCCTCACCCTCCACCTCAAACGGTTCCAGCAGACGAGCTACGGCCTGCGCAAGCTCAGTACACGGCTCAGTTTTCCACTCGATCTCGACCTCGAGCCGTATGTCGAAAGCCCGCCGGCGTCGACGACCTCGGACATGTCAGCATCGTCATCGTGCGCAGCATCGTCGTCGTCATCAACCTCGTCATCATCGGCGTCGTCGTATGAGACGTCGTCGTCGTTCACCTCCCCGGCCCCGCCGCACATCCTGCCAGCCAAGCCCTTCGACTCGTTTGTCTCGTCCGACGCCTACGAATACTACTCGTCGTACTCGGACCAGGGCGAGACGGCATCGGCCTTCTTGTACACACTGTTTGCGGTCACCGTACACTCGGGCGGCCTTGGCGGTGGACACTACATTGCATACGTCAAGCTCGCGCTGCCTCGTGGCGGGCATCAGTGGTACCACTGCTCCGACTCCTCTGTCCGCCCCGTCGACGTCCGCGCTGTGCTCTCAGCCGAGGCATACATGCTCTTTTATCGCCGCGCCGACTAGGCTCCGCGCGCCTGGTCCGCCGCAGGCACAGGCGCCAGCGCCGCTGCCACCATCACCTCCAGTGCCGGCCACTCGGGGCCCGGCCGCCGGGTGGCGCACAACGCAAGGCCCGAAATCTGCGTCCCAAGCTTGGCAAGAAGCTCGTTGCCGCCGCTCCCGCATGTCCGTCGGTCGTGGAGCACCCGCAGGAGCCGCGCAAAGTACACACAGAACACATACAGCGAGTCTGGGTTGTCCGGCCGCGGCGCGTGCGGAATGAGCTCGTCGAGCGTGTTGGTGACCAGCACCAGTGCGCCGGCACGGGTCGAGCACGCTGCATCAACCAGTCGCTCGAGCCCGAGCGCAAAGTACAGGCCGGCGCCCTCCAGGTTGCGCGGGCCAATGTTGCCCAGCTCGAGCGCAGGCTGCCACTCAGACGCCGGCGTCGCCAGCCGGGCGGCCACCAGTTGGCTGGCCACATCGCGGAGCCGGACCGAGGTCTCCGGGCCGAGGCCGGCGTCGGGCCAGCAGGCCTGGAACAGCCGCTCCAGGAGCTTGAGCCACGTCTGCCGCGCCATCATGTTGGCATCCGAGCCAGTGCCAGCCCGCGAGAGGGTGAGAAGCGCCTTGCGAAGGACGAGGAGGACCACCAGTGCCACCACGTCGGTCGACGGCGACGCTACAGCCTCGGGGAGGCTGCCAGCAACTTGGCCCACGCCTGGGCACGCCAGCAGCAGCATCGCCAGAAGCTTGGTCCGGTACGCAAGCGTCTCGCGCTCATTGTGAGACCGATGATCCGGGAACGCCGTCAGCATGTCCAACACAAAGACAGAGCCCTCTGGCCGCGCCCCGCGCCCCGCAAAGTACCGCCCTAGCCAGAGCATGGTCTTGACCGCTACCGGGTCGTTGTCGTCCACGCCCACCATCTTGCGCTTGAGCTTGCGAACCACAACCGCCACCTCGTCATCCGCGTGGCCCTCCACAAACGCCGTCACCGCCGCGTCGTACTTGCTCAACACCGCTGCAACCTCGTTGGCCTCCGAGTCGACCATCGCCACCAGCGGAAGCTTCTCCATGCCAGACCACAGATTGTTGAGCTCGTGCATCATCCGTGCCTCGCGTTCGTTCCGCCGCGCCATCTCGGGCACCGGCTGGCCACTCTCACTCGCACCTGCCCGCCGTCCGCGCCGCGACGTGCGCACAGCGCGCAACGCCCTCAGCTCCTGGCCTCCTTGACCCCCACACTCTCTGGCCTTGGCCGACTTGACAGCCTTGGGCGCCCTGGCCTTGACCCGTGCCTTGGCCGCAGCGCGCACCGGCGACTGCGGTGCGCCGCCCGCTGACATCGGCGGCGCCGCCTCCAGAGAACCCGACGCCGTCTCTGGAGAGGCCTTGGTCAGAAGTGGGCGTGCCCGCTTGGCTTCTGGACTCGCCACTGGCGGCTCCGTGCTGTCGTCCTCAGTGCGCTTGCGCTTGCGGTCGTTGGACGGCACGGCTGGCGGCCGAAACGGCAGCTGGGCCACACCTGTCGTGGCTGCAGTCTCTGTGATCGCTGGTCGTACCGATGCGGCAGCAGCAGCAGCAGTGGGGAGTGTTGCCTCTGTGGCGGCAGCCACTGCCACCGACCGCGCGTTTTGTGCTCTGGCGAGCGCGGTGCGGAGCGAGGCGATCTCGGCGTCCTTGCGCGCTGCTTGCGACCGTGCCGACGCCAGCGAGCTGCGGAGCTCTGACACCGAGGACTGCATGCGCGCAATCCGGGCGTTGGCCGCCGCCATGTCCATCTCGACCTCGCGGCGCTCAACCCGCAGCCGGTCCGCCTTGCCCGCCTCTGCGGTGAGCTTCTCGTTGCGCCTCCGTTCGGCGGCAAGATCGACCCGCAGCGCGCGAATCTGCGAGTACAGCTCCCGCAGCGTGGCCGCATGCTCAGCTTTGACCTTGTTGAGC